AACTGTGTGATACAGTTCTTCAGTTAATTATAAATCATGATATAAACATTATATATAATACACATTATATATACACACACACACACACACATTGGTGAGAACATGCTGTTAAAATATTTGTGAACTAGTTGAGGTCAAAACAGAACTACAGCCTATGCTGTAGTGTGTATAATGATATAAACATTATACATTTTTTTATATACACAAATAGGCTGTAGTTCTGTTTTGACCTCAATTAGTTCACAAATATTTTAACAGCATGTTCTTGTATTACTGGAAAAATTACTTTCCAGTTACCTGCGGACTATTAAGTGCATTTGTTTTTTTTTAAGATTTTATTTGAGACAGACAGTGATAGTGAGAGAGTGCATGAGCAGGGAGGAGAGGGAGAAGCAGGCTCCAGAGCCGAAGGCAGATGTTTAACTGAGCCACCCAGGTGCCCTATTAAGTGTATTTTAAGTGCATTTGACACAGTACCAAAATATATTCCAGAAATTTAGGGTTATCTCAAGTTACAATGGGGTCCTATGTAACTTTCAAGTTTCTACTTAGATTACTGAAAACCAGAACGGGCTCAGGCACATGAATGAACGCCTATGTAAAGTCTACCTCTTAGCTTGGACAACTGAGCAGGTAGGTATTAATTAATAATTACTTGCATTAACTTGGTAGTGTAAGCAGGAGTATCAAATAGGTCTCTGAATCTGGGTATAACTTTGGTCCCATGACAATAAACAATTACACAGTTAACATTTGTTTTCATGTCTTTCCCTTCCTCCAGTTGGAAGTGGTAGAAGAGTGCTGTATAGGCTTACATTCATCAGAAATAGGTATCAGCTTGGATATAAAGTGTTAGCTAACTTGGGGAGTTACGCTGCATGTACAGTGCCTTGCACTATGCGTTATAGTTTGAAATGTAACTTGTAACAGAGAGCAACTCAGTTGGTAGCCACAAGTGTCTTTTTTTTTTTTTTAAGATTTTATTTATTTGTGAGAGAGAGAACGACAGACAGCATGAGAGGGAGGAGGGTCAGAGGGAGAAGCAGACTCCCTGCCCAGCAGTGAGTCCGATGCGGGACTCGATCCCGGGACTCCAGGATCATGATCTGAGCCGAAGGCAGTCGCTTAACCAACTGAGCCACCCAGGCGCCCCACAAGTGTCTTTTTAAAAAATACCTCAAGTTGGGGCACCTGGGTGGCTCAGTCGTTAAGCGTCTGCCTTCGGCTCAGGTCATGGTCTCAGGGCCCTGGGATGGAGCCCCACATCGGGCTCCCTGCTCAGTGGGAAGCCTGCTTCTCCCTCTCCCACTCCCCCTGCTTGTGTTCCCTCTCTCTCTCTCTGTTAAATAAAATCTTTAAAAAAAAAAAAAATACCTCAAGTTATTTCTTCTGGTGCCTATCTCATCAAAGGAAATGAAATCACATTTGGACAGTGAGTTACAGTGTCAGGATCTAGTAATAACCAATCTCTTTTGATATTTTTGATTATACTGAATCCTTACCTGTCTTGGCTATTCCCTTCTTTTGCTGACATCTTTCCATTTATTTTGCCCGTTTTAGTTAAACCTCTGAGGGGAAATGGCAGCTCACTTAAATTATTAGGTAATGACAGTGAATTCAAGCAATGGAATAGTTCATAACTGTCAGACCTGGATTTTCCACTTTTTGTTGAGAGTTCTGTTGCTGTTAATAAGTTAGTTGATGATTTTCTCTTGTGCATTTTTTTGTTTCTACAATCATACCTTCCTCCCATAAATAATTAAAAGAATCTATCTCAGACTTCTCCTCCAGGTAATGTGTCTTGGTAATCATAGCTAGGCAAGGACAAGTTTTGTTCAAATTTAATCTCCTAGTCAAATGAGCAGTTTTCTCTAATAGTGGTTGTGAGGATCCCAGTCAGGTTTGGTTGGTAAGTATTAATGATACTGGTATAAAAGGCAAATACCACCTTTTTAGGACGAGTAATTTCTCAAAAGAAACCTAGACTCTTGGTCATTGCTACGCTTTTTTGGAATGGTCATAAAAATGCACTATTCTTCCAGCAGAAGGTTGGTTAAATATGCAGCCATCAAAGCCTTGAAGGTACACGAACAGAACAGGAATGGAAAGGAAAAATAATCAAATGAAAAGTATGGAGTATTCAGAAAAAAATTACCTAAGTACTTCAGAGCTCTTCCACTTTTCCCCTGGCTCAATCCTGATTCCTTTGGGAAATGGTCAAACTGCCCTGAAGTAGACTGTGATTTTGGCCTCTAAGTAGGAAGATTTAAATAAAAACCCTCTTCATTCCCACATACCCTCTTATTATTTCTCATTATTTCTTGCCTCTTCCAGAGCCAAACTTCATAAAAATAAGTTCTCTATATTCAGTACCTATTTCTTTCCTCACTCCCCAAACTCCTGAAATGTGGCATCTTAGTACTCAATTCTTCAACTTTTCCATTACAAGCAACCCAGAACTCCAACAAATGCCAAACAGGTCCCAGGAATGTGAAAGAGAAGAGCAGAGTTTATCTGGAAAATGAGAAAATCCAGCAACCCATTTCAGGCGAATACACAGCAACATGAAAAGCAACAAAAATTGCTCATAAATTATCTCAGGACCAGCAGGAAACAAAGAAGAAAACAATTTTGGAAAGACTCACAAAGATGAATACTGAAAACTGTTCATGGGACTGAAACTCAAAACAAGCATAATGCCCAGCATTAAATATACAAAGAGTAAACAAAGCAGACTTGAAATGAACATTCTTGCATTGAGACTGTCAAATGTAAAAGGTAATAAATGTAAAATTCATCACCAAAGTAACACTTAACTTTCAACACATTCACAATTGTTGAGACAGAATAAATGTACCATACTATTGTTAGTATTCCATTGAAATAGCAGAAGACGGGACGCCTGGGTGGCTCAGTAGGTTAAGCGTCTGCCTTCAGCTCAGGTCATGATCCCAGGGTCCTGGGATCGAGTCCTGCATCGGGCTCCCTGCTCCACGGGGAGCCTGCTTCTCCCTCTGCCTCTGCCTCTCTCTCTATCTCTCATGAATAAATAAATAAAATCTTTAAAAAAAAAAATAGCAGAAGACTGGTAAAGGTCATTTACTACTACACTTCTGTAAGATGCTAGTTTCAATATAGCAATTTTAAGTGCACTAGTATGACAATGTTGTTTGCAGTTTACTTTTATGTTACCACTTCTGCAATTACTTTATTTCACCATGTGTGAAAACTTGAATTTAAGTTTTTCTCTATTTTTGTCTTATATATAAAATAGTAGGAAACACAAGGAAATGGCTCTAAATATACCTACATTGAGCCAAGAGAATAAATGCCATCTAGTTTGATGAGGACAATTACTAAGAAACTGTAAGATCCCACTTCATACTATACTAACAAGTAAGAGTCTGCAGCGAGAGGGTAAGGAAGGAAGGAAAGCTGAGTTCTGGGCTCAAAGTGTTAAAAAAAAAATTGTCACTTAGGTTATATCAAAGATTATGGTTCCTAATTTTTATCTTCTGGTGGTGGAGTAGCTCAAACAAATCCCCAGGCTATTCAATTTGATAAAGACCTATGTGCTAAATTCATCAAATCAGGAATTAGGTGTTAAGAGGGAAAGTGATGAACATTTCCTAAAAGGTTTTAAGATACAACTCACTGAGAATTAACCTTTACAGCAAATTCAAATCCATATAGCATCCTCAAAAGACTCTATATCAAGTTAAGAATTTTAAATATGTGCCCACTTGCATAATTGCTTACAACTGCACATCTCTATAGTTCCCTTAAAAGGCTTTATATTCATAAACATTTATATTTGATTAAATTCATCTTCACATACTTACTCTTGCAAAGAAATAATTTTCTAGTGCTACAATTATCCAAACCTATTAAAAATTGAAAAATAGAATCGTAGAATAAACAGGGCTCACTTTTCTGGTTAATCATTAACTCTGCACATTTGGATTTTAAATCTTGACCCAGGGATATTTACTGCATTTACCTTCAGTGGCCTATAAAATAAAGCAGCTAAAATTATGCCAATTTTTTACAAACATAATGGGTCAACTAAATAAGACTAGGAAACATACATTTCAGTTATTACTAGTGTAATGCACCACAATAAACACAAATACAGGATGTGGAGGACAACTGTACCCTACCCCCGTATACTCAGTTTTAAAAAATATAGAATAACTGGTTCCAACCTGGCAGAATAATTCAACAGGGATGAGTGGATGATAGCTATACATTTTTAGAGTTCTACAGGTGATCCTGACACTTAACACTGCTGAAAAAACTCTTGCCATAAGAGCAAATGACTCAATACTCTTTAATGAGCTACCTATAATTATAATACAAATCAACACCCTAATTGTAAGTTGTTTTATCCGCCTAAGGCATTCTTAATCCCACTTTTCAGTTTTTCTAACCCAGTGTTTTCTCTGGGACACTGAGGTTATTCTTTCAGAAGCTGGTATCACCAATCCTCAAATATTAACTTTGTAAAAATTTCTAAGGAAGACTGCAGAATTTTTTCCCTAAAAGTTAAAGGTTAAATCATGGAGTTTTTTTTAGATATTAAATAGATGTTTCATTTCATTATGGTTAGATGTCCACCGGATAGAAGCCTGGAAAAACTTCAAACTACCCAAACATATGACAAATTATAAATTATAGAAATCACTGCATTATATAGGTCTAGTTTCTCACCCATAAGATATCTAAGCAATCTGCCCCCACCCCCAGAAAATTTGTCTTCCATAGTAACTCAGACTTGCTTATATAAAGAAATATTTTATACCACGAACAAGAGTCACTATAGGTTTGTAAAATAAGACACACCAGCGAACCACCAACCCATAAAAATAATTTAAGAGTTTGAAACTAAGCCTAAATGCAAAGCTGTCCACTGTTTTCCTCTCTGTTAAATGTAAAATACCTCTATAGTTATACTGAAGGTCAGAAAGAAAACAGCATTTTGTTTCCTTTCCTATACTTACCACAATTACTTGCAAAGGTGTTTCTGAATAACAGAAATATTTGTATGAACCTTTCCCAGTTTGTACTGCATGGATGAGACCAACACATATTATATCACCTTTGTCAAAAATGAAACAAAGCCTTTCATCTTGTGACTTGTGTCCAGAAACATGACAGACGATGATTCTTCTGTTTTTGTAGTTATCATCTGTATACATCTGAAAGACTGTTTCTACCATGTTTTATTATTTTCAATCACTCTGCCTAGCTTTTCCGGATAGGAGAATCCATCCATCAGCTGTAATATTACTAACTACTAACAGAGAGGTGAAATGCATATCCTTAATGACCCAAAGTAACAAGTTAATTTTGTCTTCAGAATAACTGTGCAAAAGGGAGGGAGAAAAACATAAATATATCGCATTTTTAACCCTTCAGACACCCTCAGGAGGAAAAGAAATTTTCCATCTTTCATAGTGTAGACTCTGAAAAAGAACAGATACACAGCATTGTTTTAGTAACACAACTGGAAAAAAAATACAGTTCATTTGAGATACTGAGCAAAGTAACTTAAAGACCAGTAACTTTGGTTTCAGTTAGTTAAAAATAATTAGTTCTTAAGGTAATTGTATATATTGAGTACCACAAATTAAACACTAACTGTATTTTTAAAATAAGTTGGTGATCCATGCTAATGAACATCCTGCCTTCTCAGTATCTACACTCAGTCTATCCAGGAACCCACGTTACTTCGGAACCGACCGCCAGCGGTCAATAGGGCTATCATCAATAATACCCCTGGCACTTTAAACCGGCTGTTACTCCTTTAGACCTTAGTCTTTTCTTAATTGGGGCGCCAAAGCACCGTCCCTTTCCAGGTTGGCTACTAGAGCCAAAATCGATTTCTTTCGGCAAGTCATTCTTGTATGAAAAACCAATGAGGGTCCGAAACCTTGCGGAGGAGTAAGGAAGGTTGGAATATAAGTGACAAAAAGATAAAAATAAAATCGGGAGGTACAACCCAATTCCGTGGGTGGAAGCTGGCTTCTCCGACCGAAGTGTGAAGGGTCGCCGTCCCGGGTCTCCGCACCCCAACAAGGACGCCAAGCGCTCCAAGGGTCCTGCTAGCGTGCCTAAGTGACGCTCTGGGCCCAGAAGTAAACTGACTCCCTCAATCCCTTGGTAAGGAAAAGGACCAGGACGGGTAGGGCGCCTATACAACCTGCTGGACCGTAAGGCCGAGGCCCAGTCAACCTCTTGATACTGCCTCCAGCCGGATCCGCCCTACAATGTCCCCAGTTGCCGCGTCCACACCCGGGTCCCCAGGTTTGGGCCCTAGGCTCTCCAACCGGTTTATCCTCCGCCTCACCGTCCCCACCGCACCACCAATCGGCTCGCGCGCTGCCTAAAACCTCGGCCAGGCTCCGCCGACTGTTCCCGGCACTCCTAACATGGCGGCCGAGTCCCCTTCGCTCCTTTGGCCCACTCTGGGCGCGACCGACCTTGGCGCATTTTGGGCATTGTAGTTCCCGCGATAGCCTCGGTGTCCTGCCAGGCCTTTAGAAGACTACGATTCCCAGAATGCACCGCTCCTGAGCATGGCTATTGGGGCCTTTCGGACAGAGGGATGATGTCATTGCAAAAACCCCACTGCATTCATTGTGCTACGGTCTATCCACCCCCCTGCTGCTGCTGGGCTTGCGATTGCCGCTTGCTCCAGCTGAGCTAAGAGTAGCAGCAGCACCAGGGCAGGGACTGACTCCAGCCCTTGGACTTAGGACATCGCAACACGTTCCCTTGCCTGCGTGACTCATTCGCACATCAGTTCTGTTTATGCCTGGGGTGGGGAGAAATATCCCAAACCAGGTGAGTTGAAGTGATTTATTCAAACGGTTCTACCAAGTTATTCCTCCCGCTTAATTCTCAAGGCTTTCTTTTGGGAAGATGGGGGCGGGAGGATTAGAGAGGTGTTCGCAAGTGCTGCTAAGTGAAAAGCTCTGTGCAATTTGGGTCAGTGCAAAGAACAACTCTAGCAACCTTCCCCCGCCGGAGGACCGATTCCTGCCAATTCCCTAGTCGCAACTCCCCTCAACCTTTTTGAGGATTGGAGAGGGGGGCTGGGTTGGGGAGGATGTTGGGAAGTGCTCTTAGAAAATCAGAAGAAGGCAGAGGTGGGGGACTGCAGTCCTGTCACATACGGCCCCGAGTGCTGAGGTTTGAGTGGGAAGGGGTGACGCGTGGGGAGAAATGGAGACAGTGATTTAATGTGGTTGCACTACTTTAGAACATTTCTATGTCGCTTGGGCAAGTACACGCTATTTATTTTTAAGATGAGCGTGCTTCTGAGTAGGTTAAGTTTCGTGGGGCTCTATTTCGTGTGTATGTGTCTGTGTCGTTTGTCTCGCCTTTTCTGCTGATTTGAGGTGACAGTGTCCTTTAATGGTGCACTCCCCTGCCAGTCAGAAACATTTCACGTGTCTGGGGAAGCTTCTTTTAGGCTGCTGGAAGCAGCATTTTTGTTAAGTGTTTTTCTTCTTCCCACTGCAGGATTGTTTGGAAGTGGACAGATTTGTGCTCGTGTGAGTGTTTTAAATTATGTTGCAGTAGGCTCCTTGCCACTGACAATGGTACCATAATGAGCTGCCTTTTCGTGAAGCACAGTCACCAGTCACAACTAACGGTTTGGAGAAGGGGTCATTAGGGAAACCCTGGTTCATTTTAACGCATTAGGGAAAGGGAAAGTTAGAAGCACTGTTAACCTTCATTTGCCATTACTGAAAGGTACCCAAAAGGTACCTTCTGAGAGGGAGAGTGATCCTAGCCAGGGAAACCAAGGCGCATAGAAGTGGAGGTTTTTTTGGTTTGTTTTTTGGGGTTTTGTTTTTAAGCGAACTGACACATTTAATAGGACAGAAAGCATTCTGGCTTACATGATTTTGGCTCTTGTGAGAGTTATTAGGATGATTAGTGCAATAAATGTTACTTTGGAATAAACAGCTGGCTGACTCCAGAACAGATGGGGCCAGTCTTAGCTGAGAGATCTACAACCTTGGAAATGAATGGACTTGGGGTCAACCACACCCCCTGCTGGAATGTCAAAAGAAGGAGAAATGCCAAAGTATTTTATGCTTAACTCTAAAATGCCAAACCTTTTTATAGCCAGGTCAGGCATTGGGTGAAAGTCATTCCTGGTTCGCTTCTGCTGCTGAACAAATTTTCTTCATTTTCCATTCAGACCCTTAGGTCTCTAAAGTTGCAGCTGGGTAGTGCTTCGTTAAACGCTGCTTGTTACTGAATGCAAAGGACAGTCCATTGTATGGGCTTTGTAGTAGAGTGATTTATTGAGATGCAATGAGCAGCTTTGGGATTTGGGAAAAGACTGCCTGGCTTTGCTTCTCTCTCTGTTTCTCTGATGCTTACTGTCTATTCTCCTGGGCACCTTACCCTTTTTGCCTGTACCTTCCTTGCCCCACCCCTCTATGTCCCTTGATGTTCTTTCAGTTTCTTTCCCTGTTTCTCCATTTACAATTCTCACTTTTCCTCTCTGTTTCAAAATTTCCCTCTTATCACCAATACATCAAGTCTCTTTAAGTCTTTTTCCAATCTCTGAATACCCTCCCCACCCCTTCTCTACCTCACCCAGAAACTCCAGGGTAGAGGTAGACTGTGTATTTATTCCACAGAGTCCTCTTGGAAGCTTTGACTTTTCTTTTTCTTGCAGTGGGTGCTAGGCAGGATGAGCAGCAACGAGCCTGACACTTTGGCCTGGTTTGTGGCTTCTGTGACAGACATAATTTGGCCTCAGCAGCTTGTGGACAATGCAATGTTGCAGTTGAGCCCATGTCACTGTAGTTTTCATTGGTACCTGTATTAAGAACTGCCAGTGCATTAGCAAGGTTTTAAAATACTATATATGAGGGGCACCTAGCTGGCTCAGGAGGAAGAGCATGTGACTCTTAATCTTGGGGTTATGAGTTTGAGCCCCACGTTGGGTGTATAGAGATTACTTAAATAAATAAAAACTTAAAAAGAAGGGGCACCTGAGTGGCTTAGTCAGTTAAGCATCTGCCTTTGGCTCAGGTCATGATCTCACAGTCCTGGGATCGAGCCCCGCATCGGGCTCCCTGCTCCGTGGAGAGCCTGCTTCTCCCTCTCCGTCTGCCACTCACCCTGCTTGTGCTCTCTCTCTCTGTCAAATAAATAAATAAAATCTTTAAAAAAGAAAAAAACTTAGAAAAAAAAATCAAATGCTTTACATGAAATGTTCTCTTAAGTCCCAAAGGAAAAAAAAAAGACTTCAAAGGGCTTCTTCCTCATTTAATACTTTTTTTTTTTTCCTGATTCCTGCTCCAGTAAGTGGTGCAAAGGCCATCTTTTCTGTTGATTGCTGAGGAGCAATCCAGGTGGACAAACTGCCCATTTGTTTTATTTTTTTGAAGACACTTGGAGTAACAACAGTGTTGCCTCCTGTGGTGTCTTCTTTATGGATGAAAAAAAATTTTTTTTATTTGTTCTCTTAAGGAGAAGGGTGTGGTGGTGGTTACGTTTGTCTGTTTAACGTTTATGCTTTATCAGGCATAGAGAGTCTAACTGTTGTTGGTATGGAGGCAACTAGTGTGACAGGCAGATTCAGAAGTTGTCTTCCTAGACCTCTCTCTCACCACCTTCTCATTCCTAATTTTCTTATTCTAAGATGCTCCATCTCCTACCCATGCTGTTCAGTGTTTTGGGGGGACAAATGGGCTAAATGATGGGTTAGATTTGTCTCCATCACTATGTCTGTGACCTTGAATAACTGTGCATTTCTTTCTGCCTCTGTTTACATATTTGCAAATGGATAATGATCCTTGCCCCTTGGCTTACTTAGCCTCATGGCATAGCCTGCTACAGTTTGCTCCTAGCCCATAATTCTGATGACAAATATTAATTGAGCAGCTACTGTGTTTTAAGAACTATGGATACATCAGTGGAAAGAGAAGCTTCCCTGGGTGCCTCAGTTGGTTAAACGTCTGACTCTTGTTGGCTCAGGTCATGATCTCAGGGTTGCGAGATGGAGCCCCACATTGGGCTCTGCACTCAGTGTGGAGCCTGCTTGAGATTCTTTCTCCCTCTCCCTCCGCCCCTCCCTCTGCTTGCTCATGCACATGTGTGCTTTCTTTCTTTCATTTTTTTAAATTAACATATAGTGTATTATTTGTGTCAGGGGTACAGGTCTGTGATTCATCAGTCTTACACAATTCACAGCACTCACCGTAGCACATACCCTCCCCAATGTCCATCACCCAGCCACCCCATCCCTCCCACCCCCCTCCACTCCAGCAACCCTCAGTTTGTTTCCTGAGATTAAGAGTCTCTTATGGTTTGTCTCCCTCTCTGGTTTTGTCTTGTTTCATTTTTCCCTCCCTTCCCCTATGACCCTCTGTCTTGTTTCTCAAATTCCTCGTATCAGTGAGATCATATGATACTTGTCTTTCTCTGATGACTTATTTCGCTTAGCATAATACCCTCTAATTCCATCTACGTCATTGCAAATGGCAAGATTTCATTTTTTTGATGGCTGCATAATATTCCATTGTATATATATACCACATCTTCTTTATCCATTCATCTGTCGATGGACATCTAGGCTCTTTCCATAGTTTGGCTATTGTGGACATTGCTGCTATAAACATTGGGGTGCATGTGCTCCTTCGCATCCCTACATTTATATCTTTGGGATAAATACCCAGTAGTACAATTGCTGGGTCATAGGGTAGCTCTGTTTTCAACTTTCTGAGGAACCTCCATACTGTTTTCCAGAGTGGCTGCACCAGCTTGCATTCCCACCAACAGTGTAGGAGGGTTCCCCTTTCTCCACATCCCCGCCAACAGCTGTCATTTCCTGACTTGTTAATTTTAGCCATTCTGACTGGTGTGAGGTGGTATCTCATTGAGGTTTTGATTTGTATTTCCCTGATGCCAAGTGTAGCTTTCTAAATGAATAAATAAATAAATAAAATCTTAAAAAAAGGAGCGAGAAAGAGAATTTCCCCCTGCCCTTATGGAGTTTCTGTTCTAATAGGGAGACAATCATTGGACAAGTAATCACAGTGTGATGAATGTTACTGCCAAAAGGGGATGTACTATATGGTGGAATAGGAATGCCTCACTGGTACTTTCACCTTCTCTAGGGAAAGCAGGGAAAGATTCCGGTAGGAGGTGACACTTCAAGAAAGTTTTAAGAGTGAGTGGAAGTAATTTAGATTGGCAATGAGAGGTGATTACAGGGAGACAAAGAGGATTTCTGACAAGGGAAACTGCATGTTCAGAGTACAAAGGAAAGAATGGTAAATATGAGGATTCGAAAGGAGGTCAGTCTGTATATGGGAACAGAGCAAGGGGAGAGAGACCAAACCAGACTGGAGAGGTGGGCAGAGTCTAGAAAGTGGACAGTTTTCTGAGCCTTGTGTGAATTTTGGTCTTTATCCTAAGAGCAATAGGAACCTAATAAAGGGC